TATATATATATATATATATATATATATATATATATATATAGCTTATTATTTAAAATGCCATCTTTACTGCTTAGATGATCTGTATGTATATATCTATGTAGGAGCTCTGGAATAAGAGTTTTTTATTGACCAAATATTATGGAACTTGTCTATTGGAGGCAATTGTAGTGTAATTCCTAACGTAGATAATAAGGATTAACATGAGGCAGGTAGTGCAAGGCATGGTGGGTAGGCATGGGAGTGCAAGCTCAGAATCCCTGCACTTGGAAAGTAGAGGCAATAGGATCCTGAGTTCAAGGCCAGTCTCGGGTACCAAGCAAACAAACACAGCACAGCAGGAAAGAAAACAAAGGTGGAGTGTTTGTCAGAGTAGGCAGTCAGCTCAAATCAGGAAAGAACAACAGATAAGAACATGAAAGAATGCCTCATCAAGAACAAAGAAGTCTCCCTGGCGACGTCTCTGCAGGTGTTTTGGGGTGACTATGGAGGATGCTGCTGAGTAGGATAAGTGGAGGGAGAAAAGCGAATGAAAGGGCAGCTCTTGGGCTCCCCTCTGTCCTCAGAGTAGCCACCTAGTCATGAGTTGTGTCTTAGTGATAAGGCACAAGACCTGAAGACCCTCTTGGCCTCTTTATCTCATTCTGCTCCACACACTGTCATGGGAACATGGAATCCAGGATTCTTACACTTGATTTTTGACAGATGTTTTCAGCCAGTTAACAAAATTGTGTGCCTGTTGTCAGTCTGTCGCCTAGCATAGCCGCTAGCTGTTGGCACTGTAGTATGATATAATGAAAGCAAAGCCAACTGCAGATATCATTCACTCTACGGTTTGCAAGGAAAAAAAAAAAAGACTGGGCTTATTCCTAAAGATAAGGTGTGTTCTGCTTACACCAGGTACCAGTGGTGTTCTAACAAGGACTAGGCTGTTTTCTTAAGACATGAACTGAACTTCATTTTGCCCCAAAAGCTGCCGTAACTGTGCCACCTTAGGTCGCCTCCGTTGTAAAAGAATAAGATTTCCTAACTACTCGTATACGCATGTATGATCTACATGGAGTGTAATCACAGCCTCATAAATCATTTCTGTTATTAGTGCCAGTAGCTATTATTTATACAATTGCCTATAAAATGTGCACTGTCCAGTGGCATAGTGCAAGTCAGAGGCGCAGGGCGTCCTCTCAGGGGCTGTATAAGACACAAATGCTGTGGCAGGGATCAGTTCTGTCCTTGGGTGGGAACTGAGAGTAATCTGAACATTCACATCGTTGGCACCCATGGCGTGATTCTCCCCGGCAGAGGAAAACACCCTCTAGTTAACAGAAGTATGAAAATCGGTAGTTAGGAACTGGCAACCTACGGCTTTAGGTGAAGTCTACCAGGTTTCGTTTTTAAACCACCATTTAAAATTGTGTTTTTTATAGTACCACTGTTTCAAATCTCCAGGGGAAAGCCTGAAAGATTTGGATACCCTGGGTCTGTCTTCCTATGGGGGAAGCCTGGAGCTAGGCAATGGCAGCCCACCAAAGGGGACAGGCCATCTCTCCTGTTGGTGGCCTTATACCTGGTGCAGTGCCCATCTGCTTGGGGTTTGGAAAGCCTTTACGGCTTTCTTGTAGAATTGTTCAGCTTCAGCTTTAGAAGCACTCTATCCATTTCTTTCCCTTGACAGCACTCATTTTCTTTGTTTTCATTTTCATTTCTCTCTTTAAACCAGAGTATCTGTGTGTATCTTGGGCTGGCTCATACTTTGCCTTACAGCCAAGGTCCTGAACTCTTTACCTTCCTACCTCTGCCTCCCCAGTGCCTGGTGAGGATTTTTCTTGTGTGAAGTTGTTTAGAAATCAGAAAGCAAGATTGGAAAAATGTCCTGTCACGGCAAGCCTGCCAACCCAGCAGCTACGTAGCTCATCCTCCCCTTAGACTTGCATGCACTAGATTTGTAAGAAGACATAACAGCAGCACACAGGAAACGCTGCCCTTTGCTGTTTATGGATTCCTTTTTCTCACAATTGGTTTAATTTAGCTATGTATTGTGTTACGTTTGGACTGGTTGATTCCGTTTTTTTACTGGATGCCAGAGCTATTATTTTTTTTTCCTGGAGTTTGTCTCTCTTTTCTTTCTTTCTTTCTTTCTTTCTTTCTTTCTTTCTTTCTTTCTTTCTTTCTTTCTTTCTTTCCTTTCTTTTTTAATTCCTTCCTTCCTTCCTTCCTTCCTTCCTTCCTTCCTTCCTTCCTTCCT